ATTGCAGTCCGACAGTCCGATATCCAGGAACACCTTCCAGCCATGATGAGGCAGTAATCTGTTAGGAGGGTTTTCTTGTGATACATTCTCGATTCTTCTCTTCGTCTCATCCTGCGTGTACTTCCTCCATTTCATTCGCTCATTTTTATTCCTAATTCATTAGAATCTATCTTTGTCTTCTTTGTCTTCAAACATGTTTGTAATCGTATCTGTTAAATTGGAGAGACAAAATGAGTGTGCGGAAAGGTCCAGGTTAAGCGTTTCGGTTACTCATTAGTTTTCCTTTTTCAATTTTGATTTCATTCACTGTTCTATACGATGCAGTTAAGTGATGTAGTTTAGTCTCGTGGGCAGGAATTACTTTCACCAAATTCAACTTCCCACTCGATCTTCTCTTTCGATTTCTATCAGCCGACTGTCTAGTGGCACCGATGCACGGCAGCGCTGTCGATTCGAATCTTTACATGAATGGTGAAGGCTACCGGAAACTCCGCTTTTGTCGCCAATTGCTTTACTATTTCCACTGATCAACAACGCTCTTAACGGCGAATGTGCTTCTGAAAACTTGCAACAAGAGTGCTGTGTTCACGATTAGGTATTCTGTATCCGATAGTGAAACTGGCAAATTCTTCCACACTTGCCATCACTGTGGTAGTCGAGAACGACTACGAATAACTTCATACAATGATGTCCGAATGCGAACCCATAGTAGACTATGTTTTCATGGATACAGTGCCAAGCAGGTGATTCCACACCTGTTGAGGTTACTGAACCAGCGCCTTTCCAGAAGCAAATCCGTTTTAAAAGGAAGAATGTTGTAAATGTTATGAAAGGCACGGTGAGTTCACTCAGTCGTAGCTCAGCTTTCTCATTGGTATGATCGATTTTCTAAGATATTTATGAGCCATATCGAAAGAAACAATTGTAAATTTATGCCTATATTATTTCAAATAACTAACAGCTTCCCATAGCTGTAGTATGCTACCAGAACTTTTGTGCCAACTAGATATTTAAATCCTCAAAAGTGAAGCACCGTTAGAGTGGTTCTGTTGTGTAGTGGGATAATGTATACTGTCGATAAAATTGTCCGTTATAGTGTTGAAGGAATTACTGGCTCTGCAAGCTGCAGTTCTGCGGGGTGAAGTTGATGCCATCCAAGCTACGCACGCTCTGCTAAACTACCTGAGAGCCCTAGTGCGTGTGCTCTATTACCTGAGCAGAACGACTGGCGACTTTGCGCAGTCATTACGCCAAAACTGAATAGCACTTTTGTCGGACATTTACTGTGGTGATTGTTGCCTTCGTTGCTGATTTTGTGTTGTCAGTGCTTTGTTATTGAAAATAAATTTGTTTATTAACTGAATGACGTGCTGTGATGAGTACATTTTAACCGCTGCTCCTTGTCTATAAGTTATTTACGAAATGAGAAGGAATTTTTCACCTTTTGTTTATTTTTATTTTATTTTGACCCATATTGACGTCTACTGTGCGGATCCCAGCACTTCTTGCATTCGATTCGTTTCTTCACAACCATTGTCCACGAGGATTTTCCTATTTTACCTGTGGCTTTGGTTGTTGCTTGAGGATTTTCATTTCATTCTGAATGTCGTAGAAGGCTGGTCGCGCAATTCTCCCTGAAGTCCTGAGATAGCCGGGCTGGAGAGCTCCAAATTGGATTGCAGAAGAGTGATTTTTCCCCAGCCAAGTGCGGTACCAGGTTCCCGACCGCCAAGGGATGAGAGACTTGGTTGGCCCGGAGGAGAACTGACGTAGTATCGTGCTCTTGATAACAGGCATCACTATCACTGTACTATTCGCTTTCTTAGCTTTCATTTCACCTTTCACCCACCTCCTTAATTCTTACCTTTTATTTCAAAAATCACGTCTGCTGGGAAGCCTTCTAAGAATGGAGTAATCAGAGGCAAGAGAATGGTGAGTGCCTTGATCTTTTGCTAATAAATTGCCTAATATTTCAAAATATTTGGGAATCTGCTACACGTAATTGGTGCGCATCAGCGTTAATATGTTATATTTCAGATTTACTGGGATCATTAGTTGTCGTGATGCCGTTCAATACTCTCGAGATCCTTGTTCAACACGCGCAGGCCCAACTAAACCCTTATGGCCCCTAAGCTGCGAAATTGGTACGTGACCAACCTTACCTAGACCGACTCACCTCTTCCAGTCCACCAGTACTAGTATGCTTCAGGAACATGCACGTTCTGAGATTCAGTAGGGGAATACATACTCTGGAAATGCATGGGGCAAGGTGCAATTTTTTGAGCCAAAAAGAGGTGACAAGAAGATTTGTAAGCGACTCATTGTCTCGTTCCCTCATCTTTCCAATGTTTTGGAAGTTCGCTTTCCGCTAAACCAGCCTGACTAATTCGGCGCTTCAATCAGGAACCCAGTCCTGCAGTGCAGTTACGTCAGAGTCATCTAGTTGCAGAGAGCTTCGTGGTAAACGAAGTTTTCATGTGATATCGAGGTAGATAGCACAAGAAGCGCCTAGGAAAGCTATCTCTGCATCACTGGGAAAAAATGCGTCAATCAATAGAACGCTTTACAAGTAAAAACCGTGCTGAAGTCCTTGCTAGGTGATAATATTTGGCTATTCCAGTATCAGATATCTAGCAATCACATTCTACGCAATCATTACTGAAGCTACTAAATTTATGTTAGTCCTGTGTATGATGAAAAATAACTGGGCAGAATTTGAAGTACATCAGCTCAACTATGGTGTAACACCTTCTGCCTCGCCTAGTTCTTCGATTTTGTTGCAACGTTGGATCTCTAATTCGGCGTATAAAGCATAACGTTTGACGAAGTGCATGTTCATCTGCATTTCTGATTCTGTGTACTACAGCTTGAAGGTTCTCAAATTTTTAGCGCTTTCATACCACTGAACTTCTTCACATGAGAGGTCACGAGCCGGTTAGGCTTGAGGCTATGTGGAGCGTCTCCAGGTGGTGGATGAGGGGTTAATCGCGGACCAAAAGCGACCTTTGCTTCGCTGAGACGCAGCTGCATCCGGGAGATTGCTTCTTTGTTTCTGCTGCGCCGAATTGGCAAACGCTTTCTGTATTCACGAGGCGTATTCATACATGCTTGTGTGGGTGAGATCTAGTTTGTGCGGATTGTATTCTACAAGTCAATTCGGTCAAAAGTCTGCAATCAACAGATAGGGAAGTATATGGGAGGGGGTTAGGAGTCCCTTCCAACAAGCAAGCCTAATGTCTAATCTGGAAGAGACTGGCAAATTACCTATGTGCATACCCAGCCCCACACGTTCACAGATCGGCCAGCAATACTCAAGCATCAAAAAGCTAAACGCAATAGAATAAAAGGACCTTGCACTCCTGACCACGAAAGCGCCCTAGATTCGGCGGCGTTGGGTAGGACGGGTACGGATAGGCTGCTAAAATCTCAGGGCCCTTCTAAGCTGCCTAATCCGCAACGAACTGGGGTGACGATGTGTACCTACAATGCACACACACACTTGCATCTGAGTCCTCGATAAAAGATTTCATCGTGCAGGTTAAAAGGATAAGGTACATCGTCGTCGGAGTTACAGATGAGAATACATCATCAATTCAACGCCGTCTCTGAGACAGGAGAAACTCTTTCTCGGCACATGCAACTATAGGGGCGCCGGTGGCGTCGGCGTTGTCGTCATCAAAGTATGGCAAAGAGGAAGTCCAAACGTTTTGTATAGATGTAAAGAAGTTCTACAGAGAAAATCACACATTCTTCAAAGTCTTCATTAAAGATTATATTGTTAACATCAAACTCGAAAAAAGGTCTAATGAACGTCACATTGGGACCTGTAGATTGGAATGGAGCGACCAGGGTGAGCGGCTGTCTGAGTTTACCTTGGCGACCAAGACAATCCATGGTAACTCGCAATTCCAGAAGCCCCACCCACAGCGCTGGGCGTGGGAGTCTCCCAGTAGAGATAACCATAACAAGATAGGCCACATTATAGTAAATCAAAAGTTTTTCCTATCCGATGTCGCTGTTTTGCGGTAATTCTACACGGGTTCAGACCACCGCCTCTTTTTTGCATGATTTCATTTTCGCGGAAAGGAGAAAAGGCCGTTAAATTTAAAAAAAACCAAGTCCGAAAACCACCATAAACTGGATCTTATTCAATATTCTTCATTAGTCAGCTGTTAAGAAGATGTTGTTCTCGATGAAATAGTCCAGGAATACGATCATTTCATTCAACTTCTTTACACTTACTTACTTAGATACTTGAACGGTCCGTCTTCACGAGCTGTGCGGACCCCAGCACATATGCCATTCGTTCCCTTCTCTCGCAATCGTAGTCCATGGAGGTGGTCTTGTTCGAGCATGGTAGCGCTTGCGAGTCTCACACCGTGATCTGTAAAACAACTGCAGGTGCTGGTGCGGCTGATTATCTTTGTTTACGAACACATCCACACAACGTGTAGGTGGTCGCCCAAGGGAACGCTTGCATTCTGTTGGAGTCCACTCAACTGTTCTTTTCGTCCATCTGTAGTCGGCTCTTCTCATTATGTGACCGGCCCATCTATGTTTCGCTGCCGATGTATATTCTTTTGGACCTCGAAGATGTGACAGATTTCGAAGGACAGAGCTTCGCATTCTGGCTAGATAGTGAGAATGCCGGTTATATTCAAGAAAAGATAGTTTAAGCGCTCTCAAAGCAATGCGGAGCATTTTTGACGCGGTTGAAGGGTCAGCCCACGTCTCTGTAGCATAAGAGACAGCTGGGAAGACCGTTAACTTGAAAAGGTGAGCGCGGATTCTATGCTCTATCAGTGGCTCCTTCGAGAGGCCCGAGTGTGGCCCAAGCTGCTTTCATTCTTCTGTATAATTTCTCCTTCACATTGTTTTCCATGTTCATTGACCGCCCAAGGTAAACGAACGAGCTGGTCTCTGCAATGAGAGAGCCATCCAATTCAATTTTTTCGCCTTCGCACCATGTGTTTTTCATGAACTGGGTCTTCTTTCAATTTATGCGAAGTTCGATCTTTTTCCACGCTTCGTTGAGCTCGTTGATCATCACCTCTGCTTCGCTAGTACTTCTAGAGCGCCATGAAGTTAAATCTGAGAATTCGAAAGTCATCAAGAGAGGACTACCTCCAGAAACACTCGAGCTGATACACCTGAGTGGAATCGCACGAGCTGCTGGCAACCGAGAACTAAGGTCTGAACTTGCAAAACAATGCAGTCAGGCGATAAAAGAAGATAGAAAGCAAAGAGCAGCAGTAATGGCCGAAGCTGCAGAGGTTGGGAAAAGCATTCGCAAAGCCCACCGAAGCTTCGCCAATTACAAGTCCAAAATGATTGCACTCCGGCGTCCGGACGGAATAGTAACAGCGTCTAGAAAGGAATGGAGAAAATCATTCACGATTAAAACTCAGAACTCTTCAATACCATACCACTGGTTCTCGGTTCCAAAAACCGGCATGCTACTTCGTCAGTGAAATTCGAACAAAACCAGGTACGGACATGATGAGATCTGGACACTTGGATTGCAGATTGATACCTAATCAGTGTGGTTGGCATATGAATTTCGTATGTGATTATTCGGCCTGTTCGCTACGAGTAGTTGTCAACTCACATCGCCCCAATTGCTCTGTAGCAAGTAACTCTAACATTTCGATATTATTCTCTGCCCATAATCCAGTCTTTGTATGCCTTCCGCTACCATTTTGTTTGGTTTTCTCTTTAGGAATCTTCCAAGATATTCCATATATTATTCCATAAATTTCAAACATTTGAGCTCTTGCGTATGGCGAAAAAAAAACTCGGGTATTCCTAAGGAACTACACTATAAACCTATACAAGTCATCTCAATGATTTACCATCATTTCGTAGAAAAAAAAATGAACTTAAGCGCTGAATAACAGTGTTTGACTATAGCAGAGATGTCTCTGTTGTTTTCTAAACCACATCTGGGTTAATTGGTTACTGCTTTCCTCTCTACCAATGTTCTCTTAACCGTAAAATAACTGGCGCAAAAACCGTCTTGTATAAATTGTCAAGTATAATGCATAAGTTTTCAGATAAGATGCTGGACGCAATAGCCTGCGTCTGGCAAGCCATCGAGTGAACACAAAACTACCACATAAGTTCATTCACCACAACCCAAACGACAGCAAAGAAAATTAATGAATATCGATTCAGATGGGTCCATTTGCACTCAATGGATGGACGAGAATTCATTAACACGGAATGTAAGTATTAATTTTATTTGTTGCATTAACTACTCTTATAGAGACAAGACACGTTGATAATCCAGTGTTTCATGCTCCGTGAAAAATTTAAACACCAAAGGACGCCTTGTTTCTTTCATAGAATAATATTTTATATAATGACATAATATTCATATAACTCAAAAGATCGACTTTCTATAAGCCTCAAAATAAATAATCGATACATAACTTTAATGACGCTGAGATATTTGCAAAACTCCGGACCGCAGGTGTCTACGGTGGGGAACGAACGCGCTGTTGCACTTTCCGGGGAATAACTCGTTCACTACCACACCATGAGGTTCCTTCGTTCCGCCTGTCTTTCAGCTAGTCCTATCGATCTTTTGCCGTCAGAATCACTCGTTGCTATGGTATGGTGGTGAACGCGTTACTCCTCGGAAAGGACAATAGCGCGTTCGTTCCTCACCGCAGACACCTGCGGTCCGGAGTTTTGCAAATACCTCAACGTCATTAATGTTATATTTCGCAATCTACTCTGTGGTTAAAAAGAGTAAGCAGTAAACAATAAGTTGAAATCGATGCATAATTTTTTATTATTATATGACTCGTCTTCACGTCTACTGTGTGGATCCCAGCACTTCTCACATTCGATTCGTTTCCTCGCATCCATCGTCCACGAAGGTCTTTCGAGATTTTACGTGTGGCTTCGGTTGATGCTGGAGAAATTTCATTTCATGCTGAATGTCGTAGAATGCTGGTTGAGTCAATTCACCCTGGTGTCTTGAGATAGCCAGGCTGGACCGTTCCCATTTGGATTGCAGAGAGTGATTTTTTCCCGGACAAGTCCAGTACCAATTTTTCGATCTCAAAGGTATGCGAGGCTTGGTTGGGCCGAGGTGGAAACGAACTAGCACCATGCTCGTGGTAACCGACATGACTACCACCGTACTGCTCGCCATCTAATCGATATATATATATATATATGCTTTTACAAACTGCATTTGCTCAGCTGAGGTTGGGAAAAGTTGTCAGTATTGTTGTTGTTCGATGGCTGACGTATCGGAGCTCTGAGGAAGGCGACATCGCCGAGACGTCAGCCACCGAATGACGGCAAGAATAACAATAAGAACATCAATACCAACCTCGCGTCGGCTTAACAAGGGCAGTTCGCGAAAATATGGATAGACGGGTATATATATATATATATATATATATATATATATATATATATACAGAGATGTCGAATATATATCTAGTATTGGCGTAGTGTAATAAATGATAAATGATAAATGGTAAGGATAAACGATGATAAACATGCTATATATGCTGTAATAATGTAGGTAATTCTTAGAAACATTCATCAACGGAGGCTCCTCATACGAGGGATCTCGAGCAGGTTAGTCGCGAGGCTACGTGGCGTGTCCCCAGGTGGAGGATAGGGGATTAATCGCGGTGACCAAGAGCAACCTTTGCTTCCCTGATACGCAAGTGGATTCAGAGGATGGACTGTCACTTTCTGCCACACCAATTTGGCATATAATTTCTGTATTTACGAGGCGTAGTCATATATGTGTGTGTGGCTGCGTTCTAGTTTGTGCGGATTGTATTCCACAAGTAAATTCGGTCAAAAGCCTGCAATTAAGCGGTAGGGAAATATGTGGGAGGCGGCTAGAAGTATCCTCAAACAAATAAGCTCCTTGTGCACATTGGGAGAGACTGGCAAGCCACCCGTGAGTATAAACAACCCCACGTTCAGAGCCCACCGAGCCATACGTGGGTATTAAAATGCTAAACGCAATGAAAGAAACGGCCCCATTCTCCTGACCTCAAAAGAGCCCCAATCTTGGGTAGGACGAGTACTGAGAAGCTGCTAAAATCTCAGGCCCAATGGAAGCTGCCCGCATTTCAAAAAACTATGATGGCGATCTGTACCTGCAATGCACGTGCACTTGCATCCGAGCCCTCGATAGAAGACTT